TTTTAAATTAAATAGAATTTTTTATTTTTACATTTCCCTTCTATTTACCTTAACATAAATATATTATAAAAGTTTTTTTAATTTGTGCACTAAAAAGTAATTAATATATTTTTTATCATTAAATTATATAAAAATAAAATTTGATTTAAATTTTAATAACTAATCAATTGAATTAAAACATGACATTAATACGAAAAAAATAATATATATCAACCTTTTGTTTTTAGTATGCATTAATGCCTAAAAGATATATTAATTATATCTTTAACATGTATCATAATAATATAAACTAGAAAAATTCTTAATTTAATCGATTGAGTAATTAATTATAAAAAGATGGATTTATTATTCCTTTAAAGTACATATTAAACAAACTCTTAAATTATTAGTATTAACTTTTGAAATTTTTATGTAGAAATTAAAAGTGTATTTTTACCTATTTTATTATTAATTTATGTAAAAAAATTAAAATTAACTTTAATTTTATTAATTGTTCATTTAAATCTTCTATGTAATATTAATGTTGAAAATAAAATTTATTTTTGAAAGGTACAATAAATGTTACCTTAAGAGTACAGAGATTAAAACAATCCTTAACTTTTATTCTTTTTCAAAATAATTATCATTTTTTAATGAATTTTAATAAAGAGTTCTTTTTTTTTTTTTTGCATAAGTTTGATTATTAGTTTTTAAATAAGAAAAAAACTGATTATTTATTTTATTTTTGTAACAATTCTCTCACAAAGACTGATTAAGATATATAGCATCAACTTATTTGTTGTCAATGTCCATTTGGTAGCTTATCCACTTGATACATTAACTTGTTATTCATGTCTCAAACTCAACATTTATTTTTGATTCTTCGACATATGCATATCCAATACATATTACTATGTAGATGCATTTAATAACCTTTTTCCTTTCTCTCTCTCGAATAGGGATGGCAACGGGTCCCCACGGGGGCGGGGACCCTCTCCCCATCCCCATCAAGGACAGGTACGACGACTCCACGGAGATTTTTAGTGGAGAATAAAAAATAGCCTCCGTCTCCATACCCGCGGGAAATGATAGGTCCCCGCGGGTATTTGGATTCCCCACCAAATAAAACTCGATACTCGTTTCTTGTTTGAGAAATTAACTGAAGATAGAATGAATTAAGAGCTTGAATGAATCTCAAAACAACCATACGATTATCGTTTATTGCAAATGCGAGAAAAAAGCTGCACAGGCATGTAAACAATGAAAATCGCATTTTGACAATCTTGTGAACAATCGAAGGCAAAAATGAAATCGGAAATAATAAGGCCAAAAGAATGAGATCTACTTCACCTCAAAATAAATCATCAAGCACATATACTTAGACACTCACAAATACTCACAATTTAGGCTCAGGCAAGCTACAAGTAGCTAATCAAATAATAGAAACAGAGCTATGGGCACTACTTTTCGAAGGTTATCGAGAATGATAGGTTGAAGGAAATTGACCGATTGAAGAACAGAAGCAAAACTAATGAGCTATAGCGTAGAGGAGAGGAGACTAGAGTCTAGAGAGGAGGAATCGCAGAGCAGATTCACAAATCTTAGAAATTTGAAATAGTCTTTCTAGTTCTAGGGTTACTAGCAAATTGGGTTGGGCTTGGGAAATTAAGTTTAAGAAGATTATGGGTTGAACTGGACTATATAATTGAGTTTGGAAAAACTTAAAAAAAAAAAAAAAGATTGGTCAATTAATTAGGTTGAGTAAATAAAAATTAATTGTTAATATATTTAAATATATATAAATAAATTTTTTTATTTTTTTATTTTATATGGATCTCCATGGTTCCCCACAGGCCAGAAGAAATTCCCCACGAAATTTCACGGGGAAAAAAATACCTCCATCCTCGCCCCACGAGAAAGAATATTTTCAGAATCTCCATCTTCTTGACGGGAAAATCTGCGAAGCTTCACGAGTCGCGGAGGAAATTGCCATCTCTATTCTCGAAAATGGATATAAAAAAGAAGAATAATTAATTTACACATAAATTTTATATAACATATTTATGTAAATTTTTATTTATTTATTTTTAATAGTTAAATAAATATAATTATTTTACTAAATATAAATAAATTTTAATCATTAAAAAATTAAAAAATTAAAAATTAAACTTTTATGTAAGCATAATATATAAAGTTTATATATAAATAAATATTTCTGGAAAAACATAACCTGGATACATTTATAGCAGCAGCAGAACTCAGAAATATTTGACAAAATGGTGTGAAAACATTGTGAGCCGGTGGGGCAAAGCATTTTAGCAACCTTATTTTTAAGCAGGGAGGGAGCGAATGTAGGACAAGGGGCCGCAGCCGCCCCCCCTTAGCTTTTGAAAAATTTTAAATATAGTATACTAATTTTTATTTTCTACAAAATTTTATTTTTCTAGTTTTTGAAATATTGGAATCATTTCAAATATAAAGAGAACTTAAAAGTAAAGGAATCATTTCAAATATAATGGCAACCTTTGAAATGATCCAAAGAAGAATTTTCATTTGGCTTCGTGGAAAAATGCATGGAGGAGAGTGTATTTGCATTCTCTCAGTGGTATCTTAATACTAAACTTTGCATTAGATGGCTCTAAGACCTAATTTATCTTTGGATTTTATTATTTAATTTCTGTATTTATGGGATTATATTTTTTATGTGAAAAAACAACTCTTATATAGAATTTGTTTATAGGAAAGAATATCTTTTATACTTCATATTAATATATTTTGACTTATCAAAAAAGAAAAATAAAGGAATCATTTTTCTCTTTGTAATTAATTTTTAAGATATAATAATTTAGTCTAAGTGAGAAAATTATTAAAAAATAGTTAAAATCTAGTTAATTATATTGGTATAATTTATATAAATTTTTATATTAATTATATATAATTTTTTTATACCATCTTTTTATATAACATTCACATATCATTAAATGAGTGAATGTATTTAATATCACGGGTCTCACATGAATTAAAAGAATCAATCATTTTAATGATATGTCAGTTTGTACAAAAAAAATTGGATACAAAAATTGTACAAAAATCATTTCTCATATTTAAAATAACATTCTATTATATTATTATTGCAAGATTTTATTATGAATTTTTCATTTTATAGTAAATAGGAACTTCAGGTAAAGAGAGCAACTCATAATATCATGAAACCAGAGATTCATTTTTATTTAATAGTTTACCTTATATAATTTGATATTATTTGGATTACATAGTATTTTTTATTTTATTAATATATTATAATAAAATATTATGTATAAATCAATTTTCTTAGTAATAAAATCAACTTTTCAAGACTTATTTTGAGAGTACTAACTGGTAATTATAGTTGTTAATTACACTAAGAAACACTTCTAAAGAAGGCTAGACATAAACTAGGGACACAAAGAAAAAAAACAGAAGAATGGGGCCGAGGGGACGACGGCCGAAAAGAAAAAATGACGTCAAGGGACAAAATGACAAAATCAAGAATATCCTTTACGTTTCACGGAGGCAGACCCAAATTGGCCTCTCATATTCCGTGTTATCGCCGAAAGGAGATGCTGAGACCTGAGAGGATAGATGAGAGAAAGCAGCCACCGCCCTGGCGGTTTGGAACTTTGGATTCGTCCAGAATACATTCGTGGAATTAATCAGAAGCCAACATCAGTGCTAACGTCTGGAGCCTACTACACAGGATGCCATCTTTCTAAAATTTAAAGAAGAAGATTTGGCTTTAGCTTTTCACTTTTGGGATATGGAAGGAACCGGATACCTGGTGCCGTCTATGCCCATAAACCAATATGAACCAAACCCAAACATTGACCCATGAGCTGAAATTGAGGCATAAAGGCTAGACGAAAATATATATTATTATTATTTATTTATTTTTTGAGTGTACAAGTCATGGGTAATTTAATTATTAAACTCAAAAGGATCCAAGATGGAGATTGTTAATATTTATCCCATTGACTCTTTCAAAAGGAGACCTCGTTTTTTTCCTTATGTAAAATGAGCAAAATATAATGGTTTTTTTTATTTAAAGGTTGGGGTATTATTGACTCAATATCTTTGTATTATGAGATTGATCTTTTTTTAACTCGATCAAAGACAATATTTGGTATAGTAGGTATTTAGATCAAACAAAGCACACTTTTTTGGGTAAACTTTTTCCTTCTCTTTGTTATATACATATATATATATGTATACATATGCAAGATAAAGATTCATCTCTTGACTAAGAAAGCTCCAAAAAATATAACCTTAATTTAAAATATAAGCAACAAATTAACTTGCTTCTCAATTAAGATAACCCTTTTGAGTCTTTGGTAAGTTTTCCCTTTTTCCCTTGTAGTGTGTATGTTCGTTGGGAGTACCTTTTCGGCTTGCTACAGACTGGTTGTATTTGTACTTTGTCAAACTCTGGCGGCAGCCTCCGTGTCCATGTCCATACAGGAAATCTAAAAAGATATGGCATTTTTGTACTCAGAAAATGAAATTTGTGGGGAAGATATTTTGCCATCTTTTTTCTT